AAGAAATTGGCTATGTGGAAAAGGAGTTATTATCTCTCTAGGGGGTAGAATAACCTTAATCAGATCCACTTTAGCAAACCTGCCCATTTACTTTCTCTCCACCTTTAGGATCCCAGTCAAAATAGCTAAGCAGCTTGAAAAATTCATGAGGGACTTCCTTTGGGAGTTGGGGGATGAAAGAAAGGATCACTTGATAAAATGGAAGAAGGTATATAAACCAAAGGAGCAGGGTGGCTTAGAATTGGGAATTTGACCAAGAGGAATACAGCACTGCTAGGGAAGTGGCTTTGGAGATTTCCCCTAGAAGGAGATAGGTTGTGGCACAAGGTCATTGAAAGCATTCATGGTTTAGATGAGAACGGCTGGGATGCAAAGCTAGACTCTCATACTTCGTCAAGATCCCCTTGGAAAGCAAAAATTGAGGTACTTCCTTCCTTCCTTAATTCCATCCATTTTGATGTGGATTGTGGGAACAAAATCCTTCTCTAGGAGGACCTCTGGATTGGTGATATACCTCTTTTCCAACAATTTCCAACTCTTTACACCCTCTCAGACTACAAGTTCAGACTTGAATCCACCTTTGGTGCTTCTTCCCAAAATGGGATTAGTTGGAATTTTGGGTTCAGGAGAGGAATAAGGGACTCTGAATTTGCTTTCACCTTTGGAGATTGTGTTCTTAGACCAAAACTCACCTGATGGCTGTTTCTCTTGTGCTTCTTTCTTCAATCTCTTAGTTAACTCCTCTTTCAAAGGTTTGGCCTTCCCATTGAAAGAAATCTGGTGTAAACCCATCCCACCCAAAGTTCAAGGTCTTTGTTGGGAAGTTTTCCTTGGCAAGGTTAACACTTTTGACATGCTACAGAAAAGGAGGCCAAATACTTGCCTTTCTCCTCACATGCGCACGCACACTCTGTAAGGCCTGTGGAGAATCCATTTCCCACTTAGTAATTTCCTGTCCTCTTCTATCCTGTATTTGGGAATATTTTTGTTCTCTTTTGGTTGCAGATGAGCCCCTCCACAAGAAGTGGTAAGCTTATTCAACCCCAATTTCCTAAGGCTCAAAGCAAAGTCAACTGGCTCACAAGAAACATGACTGTTACCTCTCTTTGGGTGGGAAAATCAGCAAATTACCTTAGCGGATGAGTTAGCTAAGCAAGGGGCTTCAAGGGAACATTTATTTTGGGCTGCTCTGTAATTTTATTTCTAGGTATTTCTGTTTTTTAAATTGATGTAATACTTGCTAGAAGAGGTAACAACTCGTGCCACCTCTTGGGTCTCCTGTATTGCCTCATATTTCTGATTAATAAATTATCTTCATTCATCAAAAAAAATGGATGGAATGTGGATTATGGTGAGGTGAGGGTGGACAATAAAAAAATGCCTGCCACACTTCAACTTCTTTATTCTTCAAAAAAAGGATCATGTGGAGAACCATAGGAGCTGCTATGGTGTGGACAATTTGGGAAGAAAGGAACAATAGAATTTTTAATGAAAAGGAGCAGGTTAAAGGAGGAACTGTTGGAAGCTATCCTGCTCCGAGCTGCATATTGGGTAAAAACTTCAAATCTCGGCCTGAAGTAAAACAAACTGGAACCCACCCTAAAGAGGTAAGACAGGATTGGAGACCACCAACTGAAAGTAGGCTGAAACTGAACATCGATGGTAGCTCCTTGGGTAACCCAAGAAGAGCTGGTATTGGGGGAGGGAATAGAAACCACTAAGGCTGTGTTGTATTCAGGTCCAGAAGGTATAGGAGACTCAGTCATGGCAGAAACCTTGGCACTGCTACCAGTGATTTAAAAGGGCGCACAGGCGAGGTGCATTTTGGGGTATGCGCCTTGCCCAGGTCCTAGAAGCACTCCTTTCAAAAGGAACATGCCTGGTGCGCCTAGCGCCTCAGCCCAGGCGTGCGCTTTTTTGCTGTTTTTTGAGTCTAACGGCTGGGCCGGGGGCTCCGAGAACCCCCTATTTGCTAGTGTTGTTCATTCATTCATTGCAATAAATTATCTTTTTAAAAGACAATGAAAGTTATAAAATCATTATTTTTTATGTGAGAAATAATAATTTCAGACCCTAACATAGACTTGTTCGCGCTTGCCTCGAGAGGCATGGTAAAAAGGCGACTCATAGAATCACGAATGCAATATGGTTTACATCACATTAGCTACTTGAAGCAATGCARTTAAGGARAAAAAGRGATTGTGGGTTTTAYATGCTTGAAAATGCTTTATATGTTTGCTTTTATTTTTAAATTTTCATTTGAATTTGTTTTACATGTTATGTTTATGTATTTTAAGATAATAGCTTTTCTAAAACATTTGTTTTAAAATTTAAGTTTATATTTTTTACTAACATTATATTTAATATTCTTTTAATTTTTGCATTTTTTTAAATTTTTTTGGCATTTTTGTTGAATTTTCTTCTTTTTTTTATTTTTTAACTTTTTTTTTTGTAATTTTGCGCCTTTCTTAAAAAGGCGCACGCCTCACCTTGCGCCTCAGGCGCAAATTGGCCCTTGTGCTTTTTTTGCGTCTTGTGCTTTTAAAACACTGGCTGCTACAAGGGTTGAGATTATCACAACAGCATAGCCTCAGAAATTTGGATGTTGAAGGTGATTCACAGTTAGTAATCCATTGGGCGAAGCACCTCAAAGAAGCACCATGGAAATACAGACATGCATTTAGAGAGACTGAAGTGATTGCAAAAGACTTGAGTACAAACTTCAGCTGGGTGAGAAGAACTGCAAACGGGGTAGCAGATACACTAGCTAAACAGGGAGTAAATAGGCAAAGTATTTCTGGGCATACTTGTAATAGGGTACTGATGAATACTGGGTTTTGCAAACGGGTGTATTAAGTTTAAATCTTAAGTATTAATGAAATCCTTTTACAGATTAAAAAAAAAAAAAAAAAAGAAGCAGAATATAGTGGCAAAGTCTAGTGCTAATGCAAAATATGGGGCTATGAGCCATATTACAGGTGAAGTAATATGGCTAAAAAGCCTCTTATAGGACATCAGGATTACCATGACACTCCCTATGCATCTTCATTGTGATAATCATGCTGCCATATACACATCACTTCAAATCCTGTGTTTCATGAGAGAATAACACATAGAAGTTGATTGTCATTTTGTTCAAGAAAAACTTCAAAGAGAAGAAATAACTACTGTATTTGCAAAGACTGAAGAGTGAAGACAGATAATCAGTTAGCAAATTTGTTCACTAGACTCTACATAGTGCAAGGGGATAGACTTATATAACACTGAAGTATTGCTGCAGACTAGCCACAGTAGCAAGACTACTGGCTCCGTGGTCATCTGGTTAGTAACGCTTGTCTAAGAAGGATCACGGACTTTCTCCACAGAGGCAAGCCATGGACACTCTTCACACTCAGACTTGGACCACAGATACCCTTCGTGGGATGTAAGACAATAAATAAAGCAAGTTGCAGTCTAGGGAGCAAATAACTGGAAAGGCCGTCTATATGGAAGATCTTCTCTCCCCTGAGACAACACGTGGTAGGAGCCTGCGGGTGTGGGAATCAGAGCGAATATGCTCCCTGCATCACAGTCAGAGTGAATATGCTCCCTGCATCACAGCCCAACGTGTGTCCCCTCATGGGAGCAACCTAGGGACTAGAGCCCTTAACCACCTAATGAATATTCTAGAATTCTTGATCCTTGCCCATGCACAAAGTGAGCCCTCCCTTCATCTATAAATAGTAGGGTTCATGATGTTAAAGGGGGTCATTCCATTCATTTGATACCTTCAAAGTCATTCTGTCACCAGTGACCTAACCCTAGAGATCCTTCAACTCCAAATGTTATATCAGTCTAAGCAATTGAGCATTCTAGCCCTAGTATCATTTCATCCTTTATTCCCTGAGAGTTCTATTGTCATCATCCCAATCCAGTCTCATCCTTGACGCCCTGTTCTTCCTAGCATCCTATACTCTACCTCCAGAACTTGGACCATCTTCACAGTGTCATACCTACACATAGACAGCGGATTGATTTCATCACTAGCAAGCTGGGTTTATATGACATATATATACTAGCTTAGTGTTGGAGTGTGTAATCTGTTTAATAAGTGTGTGATTTCATTCTTTATTTTATGTTTTAAGTAGTGTAGATGGCAGTAGGGTATTCGGAGATTTCCCTTAGAATAATAAGGACACTCCAGTCCTTAATTGTACATAACAGGATTATGATGTGACTTGACACCATTTACTGCCTGGTTGGGTCTATGTAAGTAAGAACTTTTGTCAACAGGTAAATAAGCTCTTTCACTCATTCTTTTCCCTCTTTCCTCTCCAACCTTCTTCCTCTATTCTTGTATTCTGTCTTATTACACTCTTAAACCTTACCCTGACATTCTGATACCTCCAAGACCCCCTTGTTAGACATTTACCATTAGAAACCTAAAAGTAATGGAAAGATTACAATGATGCCCCTCTATTCAACTCCATCCTATAACCAAAATTACAAAAAATAGTTCTCCATATACTCAAATTGAACTCTCGATGGGTGAACAAATTGTTGGTGGGTTGTGAGATGAGTAAACATAAAATAGGCAAGAAATTCTACTAAAAAGGCAATGAAATAGAGGAGAGAAATAAACCAAAGGTATAAGAAATTAGTTAATAGGGTAAATGAGTTGGTCAAAGTTAGTTTTGTCATTAAAAAGTAAATATGGCACATGTGGATCACTTCATACGTTAGCTTTCCCCTTAACTTCTAACTAATAATTGATTGGTAAATTTTATTATTCTATGAATATAGCTAGACCATCAAAAACTGCTGGATTTGATTCTTCTAGAAGAGTTAAGTAAACTGTAATTTGTTAGAAATAACTTGTACCAAGTACCAACATGAATCCAAATTGTGCATGAAAATGATATTAAAGATAATATAAATTTCTTGTGTATTTAAAAAGGTAATCCCACAACTGGAGATCCAAAATTTTCAAGAAAAATACTAAAGAATACAAGGCAGATGACCTGATTCAGAACATAGAAGACTTTGAAGCGGTCAGGGTAGTCCCTTGCAAGGCCATCTAGTTCCTCCTGCACATATCCAATATAAATTAATTCAATATACACCTATCAACCACAAGGACAGATTGTAAGACATTGTGTACATGTTCTTCATAGTTACTATTTTTCAAATATTCTTAGTATTCCTTATTTCGGCAATAATTTGTAGGGGATTTTTGAATGTTGAAGTTGAACACACTATGCAAATTAAACTACTATTTCTAAAATAACATTAATAAGCATGATAGTAGATAATCAACACAAGTGATGTAATCAAACAAAGTCCATCAAATAATTAGGAAACCATACACCTATATTATACACAAATTTGAACCAAAAATATGTAAACCAGAATAAGCTATTAGCTAGAGTACTGAATATACAGTTACACACAAGCTTCTATATTTTAAGCAAGGAAACCAAAACAGTCTTAAAGAAAACTACTAAAAATTATTAAGTGCAAAAAACTAGTTTAAATTTAAATGCTTCTAACTAAATATTAGCTGTCATATTTACCATTAAATTGAAGGAATAAAATGCCAATTCAAAATTTTAATAAAATCTGACAGTGGCGACCCCACCACCATGAATATTTGGGGCCAAAACAAAAGAATAAAATGCCAATGAATATGAAAATCATAAGGAAATGAAATCTTTTACCAATTATGTAAACTAATAGTAATATTCAGGCACTGTAATAAAAGTATAGATTACACACAACTGCAAGTATGTGTACATGTAATTTATTGAAATAACAAGAAATTTGTTCATAGTACAAGAAATTTTTCAAGAGGGCTAGGATTGGTATAAGGGTTTAGGATTAAAAAATATTGAGTGATAAAAAATTAGAAATAAGGAAAATATGTTTGGAATAGAAATTTTCAATGAAATTTCATAAGTATGATTAGATGGTTAGTGCAAAAGAATTACCAAAAAAAATGGTTAGTTGCAAAAAGGACACATCAATAAAAAGGTAATTGCAGAGGGCAACCAAGTTTGGTAAGGTTCAGAGTATGCACAAAACAACAAAATAGTAAGGGCTTTGAAGAAAAATCAAAAACTTTGGGATGATTTTTTTTTTTTTTTGAAAAGTAGAGAAAATTTCATTAAAAGGGAAAAAGAAAGTACACAAGGAAGGTAATAAGGATCACTCAAGAGAAGAAATAAAACCCCCAAAACAACCTAACTACTATAACCAGTGTTTTAAAAGCGCAAAGGCACAAAAAAAGTGTAAGGGCCAATTTGCACCTGAGGCACAAGGCGAGGCATACGCCATTTTAAGCAAGGCGCAAAATTACAAAAACAAATGCTAAAAAATCAAAAAAAAAAGTCAGAATATTCAAAAAAAATGCCCAAAAATTTAAAAATTGCAAAAAAAATCAAAAAATATTAAACATAATGTTAATAAAAATAAAAACCTAAATTTTAAAATAAATGTTTAAAAAAACCTATTATCTAAAACTAAAATACATAAACATAACATGTAAAGTGTATTCAAATGAAAATTTAAAATTAAAATCAAACATATAAAGCATTTTAATGCATGTAAGATCCACAATCTCTTTTCCTCAATTGCATTACTTCAAGTAGCTAATGTGATGTAAAACATATTGCATTCTCGATTCTATGAGTCGCCTTTGTACCACGCCCCTCGAGGCAAGCCCGAACATGTCCATGTTAGGGTCTTAAACAACATTAGCAAATAGGGGCTTTGAGCAATAAGGTGGGTTGGCCTAGTAAAGTCCCTTGATTTATATACAAAGCCATTTATTTCTATTAAATAAATTTTATATGATGAAAAATATCTACTAAGGTTTCTTTTTGAGGCCTTAATCTAATTACAATAAACCAAAATACTCTTGTACAGAAATTTTACAGACAAATTTTTGCTCACTTGCCTTTGTTCCAATGGACACCCCCTCCCCTTTTGCTAGTTTTAATTCTTATAAATTAGATAATATTGAAAACATTAGAAAATATGCAAATTAAGTAAAGATATTATTTTATTTAGTTAAAAGGTTATAAATTTTAAAAATATCATATTAAAAAGAACATAATTTAATAGAAAGTTAATAATATACGTTAACTAGGAAACAAATATATATATATA